CATGCAGTTGTAATTTTGATAAATAATACAAACTGCCCTTGGGCAGTTCATACTCCCAGCAACTAAATATAAAGGTCCTTTTCCCTGTTCTTAGTAGCACTGTTTTTGATACTTGCTTTGATATTTGATATTCTTATAGGTGGAAAAAGACCCTTCAGTTCACATGGAAATGGGAATTTTCATGTTTTGTAGCCATTTGTAGATTTCCTTTTCTGTGAACAGTTTCTTTTATTTTTTTTAAATTAGGTTTTGGTGTTCTGATACGTAGGGCAGGTATATGTATGTATGTAAGAGAGAGAAATTAGCCGTTTGTGGTATAAGTTGTAAATAATTATTTCTTTAAATTATTTTTGGTGACTTTTGCCATGCAGCAGATTTTTTAAGTGTAATCTAATTTATCTGTACTTTTATGGCCTCTGAATTTTATGCCACTCTGAGATTATAAATTCTTCAATGATTTTTTAAATATCTTAGACTTTGCAAATAGAAACTTAATCTAAAATACTCTAAAAACCTTTGACCTCCTTCACCTATAAAATAATAAAACAAGTTTGTTTTTTCTTTAGTTTGTGTTGCCTATTTAGAAGTCTCCCTAGTCAGATTGTCCCCAACTTTGTTATATATATATATATATATATATATATATATATTCATTCCTGGAAATCATGTGTTGGTTGTTTGAACCTCAGTGTATATGTTCCTATAGAAACAACATTATGATTGATGAGGTTTCCTGTAGTCCTAATCCAAATTGAGGCTATTGTGTTAAAACTGTCTTAGAAAATTTAGGAGAGAGAAGAAATACATTCTTTTATTTTTGTTGGCAGTGGCTTAGAGGGGCTGGGCTTTGCTACCTTCCCATTACCTCCTCTGACCTGGAAGACCTAAATAAGTACACAGTCCTTTGGGGCAGGATAGGCCTATCTGACTCCCCTATCTCAGAAGTGGTCCCCACTCAAAATATTTGTCTTCAGTCCTCCAGAGCCAGTTATTAAACACCTCTTTGTTAGTACCGGCCTTAGGCCAGATAGCATTCTGGGTACCTTTAGGCATATTTTCTTCCTACTAGGTATTAAAAAGTGTTGTATCATGCAACTGATGGTTGCTTCTAGTCTCAAAAGTATTTATTTGGAGAAGTTTACTTAATTCAATTTTCTAGTGGTCAGTATTAGTAAGGATTGAGAGGAACTAACCTCAAACTCTTTGGTTATTTCTGTCTTTGTCCTTTTTTTTTATTTTTTTATTTTTTTATTTTTTTTAAATTTTTTTTTTTCAACGTTTATTTATTTATTTTTGGGACAGAGAGAGACAGAGCATGAACGGGGGAGGGGCAGAGAGAGAGGGAGACACAGAATCGGAAACAGGCTCCAGGCTCTGAGCCATCAGCCCAGAGCCCGACGCGGGGCTCGAACTCACAGACCGCGAGATCGTGACCTGGCTGAAGTCGGACGCTTAACCGACTGCGCCACCCAGGCGCCCCTGTCTTTGTCCTTAATAGAAATTCCCAGTGTTTTTCTGCAGGATGAACAGGACCCTCTTTGTTAGAAATGTGATTCCAGCAGACTGCCTTGTTGTTAAATTGTAGCCCAGAGTATCTGAATAATAACAATAACTCCCCTGGATGTATAATGTGAACAGTTAGTTATTTGTTCACATCACAGCCTTTTAGAATTTCTTAGATAGCTCTCCATCAGTCACATATTGGCCAATGGAAAGTGCTCTCGGTTCACAGCCCTAAGCAACATCTTTTGTGCTGAAAGAGGGAGTCTTCTGAAGATTCAGTCTATATAAAAAAATAGATATGGAAGTTTTATTGCTCATGTCTTCTAATTCACTCTCTATTGTGGAGCAAAAGCAGTAGCATTGCCTTATAGTCAAAAGTAACACTATCAACTCAATCTTCTTGTAGTTCTCACTATCAACTCAATCTTCTTGTAGTTCTTTAGAAATGTAAATTTACAGCAGCACTATTTATTCATTCATCCATTCATTTGAGAGAGAGAGAGCATGTACAAGCAAGGGAGAGGGGCAGAGGGAGAGAGAGAATCCCAAGCAGGCTCCGTGCCCAGCACAGAGCCCATTGCGGGACTTCATCCCACAACCGTGAGATCATGACCTGAGCCAAAATCAAGAGTTCAACGCTTAACCGACCAAGCCACCTAGGCACCCCTACAGCAGCAGTCTTTGTAGTTAAAACTTTCGAGTTTTACAGTAGCATAAATTCAACTCATTGAAGTAATTTCTTGATTGCCCCCAAGCCACCTCCTCCCCTTGGCCCTTCTTACCTTATCCAGTTACTGCACTAAATGCTTTCCTTGCAGTTTTGCTTTTAGCCCCTCCCTGCCAAATCTTCTCAAATGAGTATCTTTGAATTAGAGTAATCTTGACTCTCAAAGTGTTTTTATGATAGGCACCTAGGATCCAGCAGTGAGAAAACAAGCCATTTCTTTGTAAGTTTTACAGTTTGTTGAATGGGGGAATAGGTGTGGGTTAAATTCCAAAAATCCAATGGTAGGTTGAAGAAAGTTGTGTTGCATATGTTACAATTGAAGTTAGCATAATCAGTTCCCTTCAACAAAGTTGTGTTAGCAATGTGGGGCTAGAAGATGAAAGTCTTGAAAAGCTCAGCAAAAAACAACCTTACATTCAAAGCAGTATGTATAAGAAAGGCCCAGTGTTTATAAAGGAAACCAATCTTTGTTTCAACACGTGCTGTATGGGCGCCCTAAAGGTATATACTTCTAGTCAACCATCCAGTGGTTTGGGAATGCTTATGCTTAGAAGGGTACACAAAGCAGTCCTGAGGGATAGGAACCTTTGTAGAGGATGAGGCATCTAAACTAAAATATGAATTCCAGCAGGAATTAAAAAGCAAGCAGAGGTGGGAGTAAAGAGGCAAGGACAAAGGAACATTCTAGTCACAGAAGCAAGGGAGCATGGGTAAGGAGTTTAATACGGTAAGAGCACACTGCAGAGTTACAGAAGTGAGGAAGGAGAAAAAGCAAGTGGTAAAGAGATAGATCTAGAGAGAGGTAATCGGTTCCCAGGTAAAGAGGAGCCTTGTGTGCCAAATTGCTTGGACTTTATCCTTGTGGTAAAAGGGAGCCATTAAAGCACTTTATGCAAAGAAGTGATCATGTGATCTGTGCTTTATTTAGAAACCATCATTTGATTAAAATGAATATAGCCAATGGGTTGGAGTGAGGTGGGACTGGAGGCAGGAAGACTTGGGGGAGGAGGAGCTTTTACAGTTAGCAGGTTAGAAATGATATATGTAAAGACTCAGTTTGTATGTGTTATGAATTCATTGGGGGCAAAAAAGGGAGGAAAGATTTAAGAAAAAGACCACCCCCAAAGTGTGACATGTGTCTTTAAGAGCACCTGGCCTCAGGGTACCTGGGTTTCTCAGCCAGTGACTCTTGATTTTGTCTCAGGTCATGATCCCAAGGGTCAAGCCCCGCCCGCGTCAGGGTCTGTGTAGAGCATGGAGCCTGCTTGGGATTCTCTTTTCCTCTTTCTCTCTCCCTCTCTCCCCTATTTGCACTCTCTCTCTCTCTCTAAAAACAAACAAACAAACAAAAAAAAAAAAACCTGTCCTCTTCATTTTGAGGAACCTAGATAACATAATATATTCATGAGAACAGATGTATTCTAGCAAGCTTCATGGTAAGATCTTTGAAAACTATAACCCCATGGCTCAGTTGTCCATTTAACACTTTAAGTTACACTTTGAAGCCCTCTAATCTCATGTAGTTGGTTCTGGTAATAGGTGATTGCTCTAAAAAGTCAATTAGAAAATTAATGGATTGTTATGTATGTGCATCTCCAGTATTTTGTTTTAACTTAAATGCATTTAGGATTTGGGGCCAAAACCTTTCATTTGAGAGTGGGTCTGCCAATCTGAGTAGTCTTTTAATAAAATCCATCCAGTGCCCATATTCCATACAATTTCCAATATGTTTCTTTTGAATTTAGCAAGAACTTTACAGTGAGTTCAGCATCATTGTGTTAGTTTTTTACCCCAGGCCTTTACAGTCATCTCACTCATGCATAATTCACCCTTCTCTTCTTTAAGCTACATATATTTATTGAGACTTTCAAAAATAATCATCTTAATTTTCATACAAGTACAGTGTCTTTTTGCATTCATGTTTCACTGGTTTGTGTCATAGTTAATTGAGTTAGTGCTTGCGTACAACTAGAATAAGCAGTTATGGGGATACCTTACTTAGTAAGCCTCACATTCAACTGATGGCAGCAGATGTGAGACAGCCTTTGGGCCATGAGCATTTTGCTCATCAGGTGAGTTTACAGAGGAAAGAGTAATGTTAAAAGATGACAATTAAGTGGAAAGCTGTTAAAGAACTTCTGTTTTATAGTATAGTTGTATGAAATTTGAGATTCTCGACTGACGAAAAAGACCATAGATTTTAAGTTAGACTGGGTTTAACCGTTTTCCTGAGCTTCATTTTCCTTATCAATAAAAGTGTAATAATCAAGGTCTTAGCGTTCTTGTATAGATTGAATGAGACAGTAGATGGTCAGTGTCTTACATATGCATTAGTGGTTTTTTCTTTGCCACCAACATCCTGCAAGCGAGCTAAGTATTACCGTTCTGAAAGTCAGACCTGCTTGTGGTCTAGCTTGCCCGTACAGAGGATTTCGTGCATCATTTGCAGTGACTGATAACAAGAGAAAGGAAACAATTAGCATGACTTCTAAGATCTCCTGGTAGAGGCACCGCCTCTTCCTAAGTGAAAGACCAGGACACAAGTATACCGGAGGACCAGGGAGCATTTGTGGAGTTAGGAAAGCTTTCTCATCTAGTGATAAGTTTTTATGATGAAGAAAAACTAAAATTAAAACAACAGCAACAACAACAACAAAAACGCAGCTGTCCAGAAGCAGACATTTGGCTTGCACGGAGCTTTCTGTGATTTGTCTTTATCAATATCATTGACATAAATGTTGATTCTTATGAAATATGTTCTTTCTAACAGGTTGTAAAATTAAAGCACTGAGAGCCAAGACAAACACATATATCAAGACACCTGTTCGTGGTGAGGAGCCCATTTTTGTTGTCACTGGACGGAAAGAAGATGTTGCCATGGCCAAAAGAGAGATTCTCTCAGCTGCAGAGCACTTCTCCATGATTCGTGCATCTCGAAACAAAAATGGCCCTGCCCTGGGAGGATTGTCGTGTAGTCCAAATCTGCCCGGTCAAACCACCGTTCAAGTGAGGGTCCCCTATCGTGTCGTGGGATTGGTAGTTGGACCGAAAGGAGCAACTATTAAAAGAATTCAGCAGCAGACCCACACATACATAGTAACTCCAAGCAGAGATAAGGAGCCTGTCTTTGAAGTGACAGGGATGCCCGAAAATGTCGACCGAGCGCGAGAAGAAATAGAAATGCATATTGCCATGCGTACAGGAAACTATATTGAGCTCAACGAAGAGAATGATTTCCATTACAACGGTACCGACGTAAGCTTTGAAGGTGGCACTCTTGGCTCCGCGTGGCTCTCCTCCAATCCGGTTCCTCCTAGCCGTGCAAGAATGATCTCCAATTACCGAAACGATAGTTCCAGTTCTCTGGGAAGCGGCTCCACAGATTCCTACTTTGGAAGCAATAGGCTGGCTGACTTTAGTCCAACGAGCCCATTTAGCACAGGGAACTTTTGGTTTGGAGATACACTACCATCTGTAGGCTCAGAAGATCTTGCGGTTGATTCTCCTGCCTTTGACTCTTTACCAACGTCTGCTCAAACTATCTGGACCCCCTTTGAACCAGTTAACCCACTCTCTGGCTTTGGGAGTGATCCTTCTGGTAACGTGAAGACTCAGCGTAGAGGAAGTCAGCCATCTACTCCTCGTCTGTCTCCTACGTTTCCCGAGAGCATTGAACACCCACTTGCTCGGAGGGTTAGGAGCGACCCACCTAGTACAGGCAACCATGTCGGCCTTCCAATATACATCCCTGCTTTTTCTAATGGTACCAATAGTTACTCTTCTTCCAATGGTGGTTCCACCTCTAGCTCACCTCCAGAATCGAGACGAAAGCACGATTGTGTGATTTGCTTTGAGAATGAAGTTATTGCTGCCCTAGTTCCATGTGGCCACAACCTCTTCTGCATGGAATGTGCCAACAAGATCTGTGAAAAGAGAACGCCATCATGTCCAGTTTGCCAGACAGCTGTTACTCAGGCAATCCAGATTCACTCTTAACTATATATATATACATAAATACTATATCTCTATATGGACTCGTAAAGGCATGGGTATAATGGTACCCCCAGTAAACTTCCTAATGAATTCTTATGACTGTTATCAGGCTTTATTGGGATTAGGCTAAAGTTGTTAGTAAACTTATAAAAGGCTGCTATGGTAACACTAAACCTAAGTGGTCTCTTGTCTATTAGTTTGGTTTGAATTATTAATACTATCCTGTAGACCCAGAGACATAGCTTGTATAAGAATTGCTAAAACTGAAGTTCAGCTTGGCTGAGTGAAGATAATCATAGGTTGTGTGGCCTATGAGAAAAGTATATACATCTAGATTTCAAAACAGTGGGTCCCAAAGCCTAACCACATTAAGAGTTTATGGAGGGTACTTGGCATTACAGATGATTCAGACACTTCCAGTGCTGCCTTCTTTACACTGCCAGTTTTGACAAAACAGGTTCGTTTTTTATTTTACAACAACTTATGCCTAATTCTGCAGGATTGCAAGTAACTTTTTAATGCATTGTGATTACTTATTGGTAATAATAGGGCTGATGGCAGTTTACTCGATCACTGGTTATAATTTGGGACAAAAACTGCTACATTGACCTTCATCTCGCCCAGAATGCTCACGGCTGGTATGATCATTGGATCAGGAATGCAATTGTGTCGATTGTGAATTCCTACCCATTGCCTCCCTCGGTGAATGTGGAAATGACCACCTGGGTTTTCCCATTTCGGGAAGGGCTTTGGGATGCACCTATATTGGCTAATAATTGAGGATGCGAACATTCCATTCATTAGTCTGATCAAGCTGTTGATTAATTTTTAGACTATAGATCAAAATGTGAAACATTTTATGTTCAATCCATATTTGTCTTGCACATTATAAATATATTTTTATTTTTTAGTAATTTAGGGGAGGGGAGGGAGAGAGGGATAATAATGCCCTTAGCATAATTTACAAAAGCAGCTGTGATGACCTTCAATCAGTTTACTTCATTTCAAAACTATTTCCAATCACGAGGAAAGATTTCTTTAAGATACACTTTTACATTTCACCTGTGGATGTCTGTAACTTCATCCTCAGTATGTTCCCAAATCTGTGCTGGCATTGAAAGGACAAAAACAATATACTGGTGGGTTTTTCTACTAATTATTTTTTGAAGCATTATTTTCCCAACACAAAAGAGCTTTTTTTCTCAATATAACAAAAATTGAAAATCCTATGTGTATTGAATAGTAAATAGACAAATTTTATTTTTTATTTCCACTTGAAGAGTTACATTTCGTATAAAAGTTTACAAATAACGGTTTTTATTTTGATTTTTTCAGTATAAAAATTGCCTTGATGGCATATTATGATGTAATGCTAACTGCTTGTAGGATAGTTAAATGTCAGTATTGAAACCTAATCTTTAGCTGCCGTCTTGTAGATACGAACGAATGTTCACCAAGCATGTATTTTGTATTTTGTTGCATCGTACACTGCAACTAATAAGCCAAGGAATCGACATATATTAGGTGCGTGTACTGTTTCTAAAAACCACAAACTAAGAATGATAAATTATCAATATAGTTTAGTATTTGCTAATTTTACTACACTCTTTTGTTATGTATATGTAGGGAAGTCATAGGGATTATAAATTCAATTTGAGTAAAGTTTAAAACCATATATTTTATGATAAAGGGCCTTTAACTTAAGATGGCCAAAGCACTGATATTATATATTTGCTGTAAAGAGAATTATAAGAGTTTTATTTTTCTGATATTAAAAGTTACTTAATAAAGACTTGTTTCCATTAACTTGAATGTATTCTCCCTGGTGTTTTTCATGCCATCATTAGTTTAGACTGGAGGATAGCCATTTACCAAAACTGAACATGTCTGTTACAGAACTGCCCCTCTCACACGCCAGCTACCTGTGTTCCTTCTTGCAGTGGTTTTTGTTAGTGTGTTCTTAGTGTTAAATGTGTCACTTAGGCTCCTACCCAAATTTAGCTTTTCCCTTAAATGAGTGTTACATTATAGTAAAATTAGAGATTTAGCTAGTGTTAGATTGGTTGCTTGTTTGTGTAGTTGACCACAAGTACATTAGACAAAACAGTAAATGACTTTTTATACACTGACGTTAACTAAAATCCTGAATCCATTTAGACTCTATTCAGTTTCTATCCTTTGTTACGGGTTTTTATCTTTTTATCACTAAATCTAGAAAAACAATTTCTTTCTAATACGAAGGTAACAAGTTTTTTTTTTTTTTCAACATTTATTTATTTTTGGGACAGAGAGAGACAGAGCATGAACGGGGGAGGGGCAGAGAGAGAGATGGAGACACAGAATCGGAAACAGGCTCCAGGCTCCGAGCCATCAGCCCAGAGCCCGAGGCGGGGCTCGAACTCACGGACCGCGAGATCGTGACCTGGCTGAAGTCGGACGCTTAACCGACTGCGCCACCCAGGCGCCCCGGTAGCAAGTTTTTAACTTTAAGTTGCTTAGTACCTTCTGAAAGGTTGGTGGTTGATAAAAATATTACTCCACTAATGAAACAATTTGATACTGATGAAATTGTTGCCATTTGTTACAAAACAAAAATAAAGACCTTTCTAAGATGTTTTAAAGAAACCAAAATTCTGTTCATTCTTAGATTGCACAGCCATAGTAAGTCCTTCCATACTAGGTGTTGGACAAATTCTGAGGCTGTGCTAGGAGACTGGAAAACATAGATTTGACGATGGGTAAGATCACTGCCCTGGAATCGCTTTGCTAATTTTAGGATTAATCTCCACAAGGGCGAAATTTTGGGGTGTGTTACAGTGCCAGGTTCTGTCCCCCCAATTCGCAGTTTTCCTTTTCTGCCATTTCAGTGACCCACGGTCAGCTGCTGTTGGTCTGGAGACAGACACCGACTTCATCTCGTCACGTAGGCATTTTATCATCTCTCATCACGAAAGAAGGGGGATGTTCTGAGAGAAAGAGAGAGACCACATTTACATAACTTTTATTGCAACGTATTGTTATAATTGTTTTTATTCTAGTTAATCTTCTGTGTCTAATTTATAAATTAACTTGATCGTAGGCATGCACGTATAAGGAAAAACAGTAAATTTAGGGCTCAGTATTAACCATGGTCAGCTCCAATGCAGGCTGACCAGTGAGTATGAATTTCTTTTACTTAATATAAGGTCAAGATCTTTCAGAGGACCTTGAAAATAAGCTACTTTGGAGGCTTTCCTTGCCAGAGGAAACTGAAACTATCTTAAACCAATGTTAGCAAAACGGAAAAGCACTTACCCAAGTTCTAAGTCTGGATCTGCCTTTCCTTGGATGCTTGCGTTAATTTTCTTGCTTTTAGAAGTATTGGAGAAGAGAGGCTCTAGGAAGCCTGTGGACCCATGTTACCAGGGAATTGCTACACCACTGGATAATCCACAACGTGAACAATTAAGAATTAGGCAGACCTACTGAGTACTTGATATTACATGTTTCCCCCTCTAGCTGAAATTGAAGTGTTCCTGTGAAAACTTTTGTAAACCGAACAGACATAGAAGCAGTTAAAAAGTAAAAATCCTCTTCAGATTTCCTTTGGTTGACGAAAACAGGTACTAATGTGGGTCTTTCATAAAAGCAAAGCAGTGCAAACTTTCAGATAGCGGAGGTCACCTGTATTCCATTTTCACAGCCTTGGAGGGTAGATGCTGAACTGAAAACAGCTAGCAGTAATTCTTTCAATACAGGATTTTATCAAAAGTCCCTTGGGGCGCCTGGGTGGCGCAGTCGGTTAAGCGTCCGACTTCAGCCAGGTCACTGTCTCGCGGTCCGTGAGTTTGAGCCCCGCGTCAGGCTCTGGGCTGATGGCTCAGAGCCTGGAGCCTGTTTCCGATTCTGTGTCTCCCTCTCTCTCTGCCCCTCCCCCGTTCATGCTCTGTCTCTCTCTGTCCCAAAAATAAATAAACGTTGAAAAAAAAAATTAAAAAAAAAAAAAGTCCCTTGCAAAGCAGGTTTTTAGCAAGAATGAAGAGGCTAGAATAATTAGGTTTTGAAAGCACGAACAGGTACTTACAACACTTCCAATTATTCTTATCAGTGCATCTGTTAGCATAAAAACCAGACGATGGTTCTCAATATGCTACCAACTCCCCCTACTCCCAGCCCCACTTAAGTTTCTACTTTGCTCATTCCAAAACTTTTTGTAAATAATAAGGATTAGGATTATTTATAATATACTGCAAACATGTCTTTCATGTCTGTATACTTCAGTCTCCTGAAGCACATAATTCAGTGGTTGCAGTAATACTGTTTTATGGCTATTCCACACCTTAACTGTTTTCTGTTAGTGATTAAGTAACTGGGCAGTGGAGCACTGATGAATTAGGAAGGGGTGTTGAGTAACCTAATGAGATTCCATTTAATAAAGATTCAGAATAGCTGTTTTCTTTACACTGCCATACCTTCCTTTTGGTATCTTAGAGTATTCCCATTACGTATCTTCAAGCTGACCATGTGCAATAACTGAAAGTTGTTGAATGTTAGATTTCCCTACCATATGGGACTTTCTATGCTGCCCCCGTATTAATGTTCATCTGCTTTTACATCTTAAATATCTTTTATATATATATATATATATTTTGATACAGCACCAGTGGGGCAGGGGCAGAGGGAAACACAATCTGAAGTAGGCTCCAGGCTCTGAGCAGGGCTCAAACTCATGAACTGTGAGATCATCACCTCAGCCAAAGTTGGATGATCAACAGACTGAGCCATGTAGGCACCCCTGCTTTTACATTTTAGAGGTAGCATTGGTACACCAATGCAAGAGAACTTCCTTTGGGAGGATAAATGGTTAGATAACTTTCTTTTCAACATTTATTCATTTTTGAGAGACAAGACTATGGGTCAGGGAGGGGCAGAGAGAGAGAGAGGGAGACAGAATCCCAAGCAGGGATTCTAAACTGTCAGCACAGAGCCTGACATGGGACTCGAGCTCACGAATCGTGAGCTATGACCTGAGCCCAAGTGGGATGCTTAACCAACTGAGCCACCCAGGTGCCCCTAGATACTTTAAATGGTAAACAGAGTTCATTGATCCGAGATGGGGATTGATAACCCAAGAGGAAAAGAGCTGAAGAGAAACCACACATTTCTAGGTCGTCAGGGTGTTTTTTTTAACATCTAATGGAAAATGGAAGTGTAACATTTTGCCTAAATGAGTTGCTGCTGCCTTTGTGTTTGTGTTTAAAAATTATAAACCTTCAGGGTACCTGGGTGGCTCAAGTTGGTTAAGCATCCTTTGATTTCGGCTCAGGTCATGATCTCAGGGTTCAGTTTGTGAGATGGAGCCCTGTGTCAGTCTCTGCTCTGACAGCACGGAGCCTGCTTAGGATTCTCTCTCTATCCCTCCCCTGCTTGTGCCCTCTAGCTTGGTCTCTCAAACATTTAAAAAAAATTTAAAAATTATAAATCTTCAATCTTTGTGAGAGTGTGCATAAATAACTTATTAAACATGAAAGTCTTAAGGAGGAGCTATGAACACAGCTCAACACAGCTGAACACAACAAAACTGAAAAGAACTGGCTTAGTAATATGAAGCTTGCTAGTTTGAAACGGGAAATGAGGGCCAAGATTATGTAAATTTTTGTTCAGTGCCTCCCAGCAACATTTCAGTGTTTACCTAAAGCCTCCAGCAGTGTTCTGCATAATTTATGGCATACATTAATATTGAGCATCAAGATGGGAAAAGGTGGTCTCACCATCTTTAAGGCTGTATAAAACTTCAAAATACAGAGATGACCTCTGCCCCCCCAGAGACAGATGGAGAGGCTGTTAAGTTAGAATGTTCTTGGAAAAGTCAACGGTAGTTAGCCTCTACTAACTACAAAAACTAGAGGGCTTTTTAAATGTGATCCTGGAACTATAAGAAGGCAATTTTTTTTAACTGGGAAATGAATTGTAGGTATTTCTCTATTTTAAAGCATCAAGGCTCATATCTTCCATGACATTTCCCAAGATCAAAAGCAAACAGTGGAATTTTTGACATTCTCTGTTCCTGCAATTTCAAGGGAATTACCAAGACATAACAAGTGACCTGAATGGGGTAGTGATTTCACGTCTACCTGAGTCATAGATGTGCTGAAATACGGAAACTAGGCCTTGTACTTGAAACATGAACTTACAACTTACAGAGTTAAGATTTCAAAAAGGATTGCTAGCTTGTGGATTTCGCTAATGCTGAACGTTTGTAAATAACCTTTATTTAAAGTCTTCAAGGTTCACTGTTGGGTGACAATTAGAAGAATATGATGGTAGAGTTAGTAAGAAAAGCCATGCCTATTTATTGTTAGGAAATGGTTAATATCACTTAGGAAAAAAAGTTTTTCTGAAAGTAAGACTTTAAAACCACAGAGAACACAGGAGAGATGGGCTAATTTCTTCCATGTTGGTGGAGTCTACAAGAACTTGGTGGAAATAATTTTAAGAACTGTGTATGTGTGAAAATAATTGTGTGGGTGTCCGAAAGCAGCTCTTAAAGCTTCTTTCTTAAAAGTCTGTACTACCTCAGCTGAGGACTTTTTTTTCTGTATCAGACTATTGGGGAAAACCAAGAAAAGATGATGAATGGGCTCTCGGTTGTGTTTGGATTCAGTAGCAGCTTTCCTGTTATTCTGTACATTACTGAATTTGTACTTCTTGGAAAGGACATTCTTCTTTGCACGTGTGTTAAGTCACCCGATAGTATTGCGTAGGATATTTCTTTTTAATTCTGGAAGTTCCAGTATCTAGAGGCTAGACATAGGTTTGTTTTTTTCAGTACA